CATTCGAATTTCAGCATCACAAATACATCTGAAACACTCGTCTACAGTTGGAATCTGCTTTTGGATGGATTCAAAGAGAGCCTCAGCATCAGTATGAGAATAAGAGGAGGAGTACAGCTGGCTATAAAATTGGAAGATTACCTTTGAGATTTTAACAGGATCAGTACATTCCTGGCCATCAATTAACAGCTTTTTTATTGCATTTCGTTCTTGTCTTCTTTTTTCAAGTCTACAGAAATATGCTGAACTTCTTTCTCCCTCTTCTATCCACTTAGCTCTTGACCGGATATAAGCTCCCTTGGCCTTGTTAATGTAGATATTGTCTAATGAGGAGTGTAAAAGAACTAATTTTTGTTTATCATTCTCATTTAGTAACGATTTATTACAGATATCATGGATTTCTCTTACAATACCAGTTTCTATTTGTCTACTGGTTTGGCTTAGTCTTTTACTGGGGGGGGGGGCTTTAGTCCAACACGGAACAGAGCTGTAAAGTAACCAAGTACAAATACTTCTTTACTGTACTTAAGTAGAATTTTTGTGTATCTGTACTTTACTTCAGTAATTATTTTCCAGCCTACTTTTTACTTTTTACTCCTTACATTTAAAAAAGACAAGAAGTATAAAGTTGTTCCTTTTATTTCATGTTTTCTTGTTTTCATTGCAGCTTGTTGTTGTAAAAAATAAAAACTATCCATATAAACTGAGCCTCCTAGATAGAGTGWATTTAACTGTGGTTGAATGAGAAGTATAAATATATAAAACTCTGATAGTGTATTAGTTTGTACACAAACACATCCTGTCACACTGCAGTTTTTGGGGAGGTCACCTCCTAATAAATGTCCTTACAGAAAATCTAACTGCTCATTTTAAATCCTTACTTTGACTTTTAATACTTAACTACAACAAATATCACATACTTTAACACTTTTACTCAAGTAATATTCCTAAAGGAGACTTTAACTTTTACCAAAGTATTTTTGGTAAAATACTTGTACTTTTACTCTAGTAATATTCCTAAAGGAGACTTTAACTTTTACCAAAGTAAGTTTTTGTAAGCTACTTGTACTTTTACTTAAGTATCACTTTGTGGTACTTTATACAACACTGTAAAAAACATTTTAAAATAAGTAAAAGTTTCTCAGTGGTAAAAAACGATGCAGAAAAGACAACATTAAGATTGAGTTATTTGAATGATGTCAACAAAAGCAAATCATGTTTAAAACGGGATTCAGGAAAATAATGAGACTTTTTCTGCAAATTTATGGAGAAAAACTCCAGGCTTTTCTGCAACATCTGAAATTAAAGCTGCTCCTGAAAAGCCCCGCCTACCAACTTCCGGTTGAGACTGACAAAACAAAAACAATCTGCGATGCTTTTCTCCGTCTCCAAACTTCACATGAACAAATTCGGTTGGTTTATTTATGTTTTTATATTAACTGTAATTAATGTCAGGCACGGGTTGGTGGCAGTGTTCACGTAGCTAACGAGCTTAGCTTCCTAATCGGATGTAGCTTAGCTTAGCTTAGCTCTTTAAGCTAACTGTTGATGGAAGAGTAGCGCTCAACCTGTATAGCTGCAGGCATCGTTTCAGAGTTTGTTTTACAGTTAAAATTGATCTATTTTAAACACTAATTACCTCGCAGTTAATTTAAATGTTAGCATCCGGGCCGCCGTGTTAACAGCTGTTATTTAATTACAAACTAGTTCAAATAATCAACAGAAGCCTCATAAATCTATGTTGATGTAGAGGTGTGGACCGACTCGTCCATCACTTACAAATAGAAATAATAGAAACAGACTGAGTGTGTTTCATTTTTAATGCAGGAAGAGAGTTTTAAAGACACAAAAAATCAGTTTGTTGAGGATCTGATGCTTGAAAATAAAGATAAATATGTTTCTGATTCAGTGTTTCCTGCAGACGCTCAGCAGATGATGCTCCTCAGAGAAGATGCTACTGAAGAACAGAGACTTGGTGTGGACCAGCAGGACCCACAACCCCTCCTAAAGAATGAAAAGGAGGGACTAGATGATGAAGAGGAGGAGACTGATGCCACCAGGCTGCACATCATTGTGGTTCCTGTTAAAAGTGAGGATGATGAAGAGAAACTTCATCAGCAACAAGAGGAGGAGGGAGATCCTCCAGGCAGCAGCTCAGCTGATCAGATGAAAGGAGGAGGAGGATCAGAAACTACCAGGAACCAAGATCTGAGTCCGCATGGAGACTGCTCCAACACTCCAGAGACCGATGAAGGTGATGTCAACAATCCCGACTCGCACAGGAAATTCAAAAATGAAGTGAAACCGTTCAGTTGTGATGAGTGTGGTAAAAGATTTATCAGAAAACCAGATCTTAACGCGCACATGAGAGTCCACACAGGCGAGAAACCCTTTGAATGTGACTTTTGTGGTCAAAGATTCACCCACAAATCAACTTTAAACCGACACATGAGAGTCCACACAGGGGAGAAACCGTTTGACTGTGGTCTTTGTGGACACAGGTTTAACCTCAAGTCTGATTTAAATCGACACATGAGAGTTCACACGGGCCAGAAACCGTACGTCTGTGACTTTTGTGAGCGCGGTTTCAGCCTAAAGGCTAATTTAAACTCCCACATGAGAATCCACACCGGACAGAAACCATTTGTGTGTGACGTGTGTGGACACAGCTTTAGTCACAGGTCAGATCTGAACCAGCACATGAGAGTCCACACCGGACACAGACCCTTTGTGTGTGTTGTTTGTGAGCACAGATTCAACCACAAATCAACGTTAAACTCCCACATGAGGGTCCACACGGGACAGAGGCCGTTTGTGTGTGACGTTTGTCAACAAAGATTCAGCCTGAAGGCCAACCTGGACCGACACATGGGCGTCCACACGGGACAGAAGCTGTTTGTGTGCGACGTTTGTGAACACAGATTCAGTAGGAAGTCTGCTTTAATCAGACACATGAGCGTCCACACGGGACAGAAACCATTTGTGTGTGAACTCTGTGGACACAGGTTTGGAATAAAATCTAATTTAAAGTCACACATGAGAACCCACACAGGACTGAAACCGTTTGTTTGTGATGTCTGTGAGCGCAGATTTAACAGAAAGTCTTATTTAATCAAACACATGAAAACCCACAAAGGAAACAAAGCAGTTGTTTGTAACGACTCCTAAGTGACGAAGAATCAGGAACTCAGGAGGTAAAACAGTGCAGCTGTGAATTTTATGAGAACTAAAGAGTCCACCTGTAGTGTAAAAGTTATGTGCAGTGGTTTTATTTATAATAATAATAAATATGTAAAATAATAAAATATGTGCATATGGTACTATTTATATTCTTTGTGTTGATTTTGTTCTTCAGTTACATTTCATATCTTTAATAATCCAGTCAGTAATATTAGGTTATAAAATAAAGAAGAAAGATCTTTTTGGTTTAAATGGTCATAAACAAACAGACATTTGGATTAAATATCTAAAGCTCAGAGAGAAATTAATAATTTGATGTAATTATTGTTTCTGGGCTGTGGTCTTCCTGAGGTTGCAGGTTTGAGCCTAGGGTGGGCAGCCAGTGTGGAACAGTTAACCAAACCGTTTGTAGTGTGGACCCCAGAAGAGGGGACAAAAAAAAAAACACCTTCGACATCTAGAGATATGACAGATTTATAGCTGACTCTAAAAGTTAAATCAGTTGCTGATGTAAATATTCATTCTTTCTGAGAGTTTAATTGAAATCCGTTCAGTGGTTAATAAAATAGTTTGATAAAAGGTTAAAAAAATAATAAAATGTGTAAATAAGTGATAAAAACAAGTAAATAAAAACTTTTTTAGTGATTTTTTTATTGAAAAATTATTAGGTCAATATAATTACAAATATATAAACAGAACAGGAGAATAAGGAACAACAAAACCAACTGTGCCAGGGAGACAGGTTTCTACATTTAGTACATTAAAAATAAGAATTAAATTCATTCAGACCTTTCTCATGGATGCGGTTCTCCTTCCGGTCCAGCAGGAGGCGGTGTCCAGCAGCAGCTGGACGTGTCTCTGCGGCCTGTCATGCTATGTTTTCCCGGTCAGGAGTTTCTGTCTGCGTGGTTTTTACCAGGTGTTTTCAGCAGACTCGGTCCGGACCGGTAAACCGAGTCACTGGACCAGAACTTGTCCCTGCTCTTTGCTGCCGGTTCGCCGTTTTCCTCCGCTCTCCTCCGGCTCCTTTCCCCTCAGACTTCCGGTCCTCGCGGCGGTTCTACAGAAACGGACCGATGCCCAGAAAAGAGAAGGCGGTCAGTCCAGAGTTATTATCAGGATAAAATCTGTTCTTTAACCGCCTCTCAGTCACAAACCAGAAGTCTTCAACCACAGCGGTCTGCACGTTTTATTTTATATATAACAACACCGCTAATGTTAGTTTCCTGCGTACATCCGCTAACTTACGTTCCACATTTTAATGACGTTTCATACAAAAGATTATAAACATATTAACGAGCAACAAGCTAACATTAGTTAAAGCCATAGAAATGAATATAAGGTTAAAGCTACAAACTTGCATTTTAAAGCTACAAGCTAACGTTAGCTAAAGCTATAAGCTTGCATTTTTAAAGCTACAAGCTAACATTAGCTAAAGCTACAAGCTTGCATTTGTTAAAGCTACAAGCTAACATTAGCTAAAGCTACAAACTAGCATTTGTCAAAGCTACAAGCAAACATTTTTTTTTAAAAAAATTTTCATTAGCTTCAAGCAAACATTAGTCAAAGCTACATTCATTCATTCATTGGACCACAATGAATGGAAATAAGCTTTATGCTTTATTGTGTTATTTATATTAATGTTATTGTGTATTATATGCAGTGCCATTTACATGATAAATAAAATGAATTAAAGTACAAGCTAAATTTGTCAAAGCTACAAGCTAACATTAGCACACACTCATGCAGATATAAACTTGTGAAATTATGTTTTTGCCACTTCAGCAAGTCTTTATGAGCAGAGTTTAACTAACAGCTCTTTCAGAACCACCTTATTGGACCTAAATCATTATTTTACATCAAACTGTTTTTTATTCATTCAGATGAAATAAAACCTGTTTTCTGTCTGCTGGGAGCTCAGAGACTAAAGACCAAACTGAAACTTCAGGAAGTTTTCTTATTGGTTCATCCTCTGAGTTTAATGCTTTTACTGTCTGTTATATTACAAACATTTGTTTGTTTGTTTGTTTGTTTGTTGCAGCAGAAGTATCTCAGGTAAACATCAGTAACTGTTGTTCAACAGGTGAGGGGACGGCCTGCGGTGGCGGCAGCGGCTCAGACATCCGGTCCAGGTTCTGGTCCAGTGACCCGGGATAAAAGTGGAGCGGTGACCATCACGGTGCACGCGAAGCCCGGCTCCAAGCTCAGCAGTGTCACAGGTCCGTCTCTGCGCCGTGTGGAACTGGGCCGGGCCGGGCCGGACCGAACCTGACTGTGTTCTGCTGCTCCTGCAGGAGTCTCTGCGGACACGGTGGACGTCTCCATCGCAGCGCCGCCTGCAGACGGGGAGGCGAACGCCGAGCTCATCCGCTACCTGGCACAGGTTCTGGACCTGAAGAAGAGTCACCTTTCACTTGACAAGGTCCCTGAGAGTTCCTGACCCAGTTCCTGAACCGTGCAAAAGTTCTGAGTCAGCAGGTGTTTCAGGCTGACCGGTCTGTTTGATCCGTCCTGGTCTTTCTGTCCTGCAGGGCTCCAGATCCAGAGACAAGCTCATCAGAGTGGACTCGTCTCTGAGTCCAGAAGAGGTTCTGAGGCGGCTGCAGCAGGCTGCGGGCTGACCGAGGA